TCCTATTTTTAAAAGCTCCCTAAGGTGATGATGTGAAACTGGGTTTTGAAGTCACCATCTCTAGGACTCTTGCCTTCCGGTCCTGTTTCTCTTGCAGCTGATGTCACTTTGTCCCCAGCTGTGGTGGTCACGCCCCTGCCACAGGCTGTACCACTAATCTTGATATGTAAGAACCAGAGGGCAGAAGCTGAGCTGACTCAGCTTCCCACAAATGGCATTCTTCCATCTACTGCCTAACTAACGTCTGGAGTTCAGAAACTTCCCTGGCTTCTCTGTAGTCTACCTCATACACAGCAGTCAGAAGAATGAGCGTGTTCAAATCTCAGACAGACCATGGTGTACACTGTGCTCCTTGAAATTAAAAGCAAACCTTCATACCGTGACTTACGTATCTTTGTTTTACCCCTTCCCTATACCTCACACATCCATTCCCCACGTTGGTTTTCTGGCCTCAGCAGAAAACCAGTTCTCCCTCCAGTTTACTCTGCTCTGGCTTCAGCGACTTCCTCTTGCTTCCTTGGGAGCGCTTGAGCCTTTGCACATGCTTGTTCCTGGGTCTGTAATCATCCTCACCTTTTTGTAGATGACAGATCAAATATCATCTCGGTAAGACCTCCTCAGACCAATCTGTTTAAAATTGCTTTATTTATTTATGATTTAGCATCCACCTCAAATTGCAACCTCCATGGGGGAAGGGAGTTATGTCTCTATTGTCTGTATTAGAAACAGACCTTCCTGGTCTTCGTCGAGGCCCAGGAAGTTTATATCTGTAATCCCATGAAAAGTTATTGGAATTCTAGCGAGTTAATTCCAGTCTGCCACATCCAGTACAACCCATGGTGAGAATAAAGACACTAAGGCATATCTGTAGTTATGGGGAGGCCGGGGGTCCTAAGTCCCACCATGATGATGGTGGCCTCAACCCAAGGCTGAACCCAGGTTTTATTTATTTGTGAAGAAGGGAGTGGCTTTAGGATGAGTGACTGTGAGAACCGTGGGAAATAGGTGAGTGCTGTGAGCTGGGCTAGGTAGGAGGTCTGAAATCACCTCTGCCATATACAGAGAGAAGGATATGCAGAAATAGTAATCTGCATAACATAACTGAGATAATATCTAATGTTTTGGGGTTGATGCTTCAGCTCTGATATGTAATGTTTGAAGCTCCAGGAAGTCACAGCCTCTATCCCAAGGCTTGATCCCAGTCAACGGTGTGGAGCACTGGCTCACACATCCCACCTCATCCCAGCTCACTCCTAGGAGCAACAGGGGTCTGGGGAAACACGCCTGCCATCTCCAAAGTCTACAATCAGCACCTTGGTTAGACCGATATGCATTGCTGAAGCCAAGTGAAGGGATAAGGAAAGGGTCCCAGCCAGCTCTGTACATATCAGCACATGAAAATAGGGTTAAGCTCAGCCAAAATGGAGGCAATTGCTCCTCTTTCAGGGAGAGTCACCTAGGTGGTCCTCCACATGTATATCCAATGCTTAGAACAGTACTTAACACATAGTAGATACTGAATGGATGAATGCTTGTCCTCTATGGTTAGGCTTCTTATCTCATAGTCTACTTTAGAACTTGAGCCTTTGTCTCATGCTGTATGCCCACCTTCCTACCTAGGTGAGCCCTTCACCTACTCCAGGCCAACTGGGACAGGATCCTTGGTCTCTGGCCATACTTTGCAGGGGCTGAGTAGCTGCTGTGAACACCAGCAGAGCTGAGATGTTCATGCCTACCTCTTGCCTTCTAGTCCTTGCTCTCCCACTGCTTCTATTCTGTTAGCTCATTGGTTCATTTCAACCTTGACCATTTTCCTTCAGCTACCTATTTCTACAAGCTATATGATGTCCGTCCCATGCTAGTGGAGGCCACCTCTGGGCAGGCCTAGTGTCCACATTTTTATGCCATCCCATTCATCTCTTGAACTCTAAACAGGCTGTTTCTGTTTTCTGACAGGAACTGCTGTGAATTAAAGTCTCTCAATCAAGATAATTATTCTTTCTCCATATCTATGCATGTATGTATCTGTCCTCCATGCCCCCTGAATGTGGGATCTAAGAGAATAGGGATTTTTGTCAAATTTTTGTCCTTTGCTCTTTCACTGCTGCCTGGAATAGGGACTTACCCATTGGAGTCTCATGATAGATAAAGATTTGTTGAATGAATGATTTTCATTGCACTGCAGGTAATGGTGTCATCACTGAGTTCTCAAGTATGAAAACTAAGTAAGAAGATCAAGGTGAACTAATGGTTCCATTTGGAAGAAGTTACAGGTTGAGTGCCATGCTCCTTGACTTTGTCTTTGCTGTCCAAATGCATTGTTTCTTGGCTCTGAAAAGGGAGTAAACAAGAAGAAAATCAAATTGTGGATAATTCACTGTAGAAATGGTAATAAAGGTATAAAATAACAGATGGAGCTTCAGAATCATACATTACAAAATAAACATGCATCCATTTTAAACTTGAAAACTTGGCAGTGAGAAGTTTCAGAATATCCAGATGTTAGGTGGGATGTATAAACATAGAATGAACATTTTTACTTTTCATAGTGAAAGCCAGGCTTAAAGCAATTAGAACAACTGTGAAGCAAGCTATATTCCTTATGGTGAAAAATAGCAATTCTATCCCTTTCTAAGACAGGCAGTATAGAAATATCCCAGGACACAACAGCCTTGGGAAAAAAACTCCAGGATCTCAAAAGAGATGCCTCCATCCCCATGTTCACTGCAGAATTATTCACAGTGTTCAAGATGTGACAATCACCTAAATGTCCACTGAGAAAGGAATAAAGAAATGTGCAGTCTATGCACAATGGAATACTATTCAACCTTAAAAAAGAAAAATTCTGCAATATGTCATAACATGGATGAATCTTGAAAACATTATGCTAAGTGAAATAAGTCAGTCACAGAAGGACAATTATTATTTGATTCTGCCTATGTGAAGTATCTACAGTAGTCAAATTCATAGAATTAAAGAGTAGAATGTTGTCAGAGGCAGGGGGTAGGAAATAGTTCCTAGTCAGTGAGTATAAAATTCAGTTTAGCAAGATGAATAACTCTCAAGATTTGCTGTATAATGCTGTATCTACAGTCAACATTTCTGTGTTGTACAATTAATTTGTTAAGAGAACACTCTCATGGTATGTGTTCTCACCATTATAAACTGAGCAATGTTTAATTATGCACACAAAAGAGATAAAGATCCCAAAGTCCAGCAATGTCTAGGTAACTTTTAGGAGGATCAGTGGGGCCAGGGAGGAAAATTGTTCTTGCCTGTGGCTCCCAGGCATTTCCCACCTGCTAGTCTATCCATCTACTGACTCTGCTTAGGGCAGGGGGTATACTGCACTTAATGTATAAGTATAAAGTACTTAGGATAAACATGAGATACCAAAATATCATTTGTTTATCCTAAATCAAAATTTAACTAGGTGTCCTATATTATGATTTGCTGAATCTGAATCATATTCCTGGTATTGCTTCTGAAATAATTATAATTTTTGTGCTGTAAAAGGGTTTAATTAGGAATAAATAAACAAAGGGAAACTATGGGAAGTCCTTTCATACCTTCTTAACTTACCACCTTTTTCACCTCATTAGTTTCCAATGCCACTTACCACACTGGCTCTCAAATCATCACTAGTTTTCAGCTTGTTTCTCTTTCAGTATTACTAAGCAGGTGGGCGTGAGGGAAGAGAGGGTCAGTTCATGGTGCCTTTATAAAGATGCTGCATCTGTTGGAGGTTCTAAGCTAAACTTCACCACACTTAGAAGGGTTGGGAATGGCATAGCAGGGCTATGTAGGGGAGGAATGCCCTGGCCTGAGTGGGAAACAGTTAACCCTCAGTGTTTGCAGGTTCTGTTTTTGGGACTTCACCTATTGTTTAAAATCTATTTGTGGGGCTGGGGATTTAGCTCAGTGGCACAGCGCCTGCCTGGCAAGTGCAAGGTCTTGAGTTTGATTCCTGGTACTTGAAAAAAAAAAAACCAAAAATAAAAAAAAAATCTTTTTGTAACCCCAAAATCAATACTCATGGCACTTTCTTGGTCACTCACAAAAAAGCACAGATAGGCCAAAAATCTGAGTTGTCCAACACATGTGTTCCTAGTTGGCTTAGTTACTTTTCTTTCATTGCTGAGACAAAATACCTGATGTCAAATATTAAGGAAGGAAAGGTTTATTTAGCTCACAGTTTGTGGAGGTTTTAGTCTGTACCTGGCTGGCTCCAAGGCAGAGTGGCACATGGCAGAGGGCAATAGTTCATGACAGCAGAAGATAGCAAAAAGCAATAAGAGCTAAAGGGAGGAGGGGCAGCAGGCAGCCTCTTTCTCTCCTTTACATTATATGCAAACTACCTGCCCCAGGGTGGGTGTAGCACTCACAGGCATAATTCCAACACTGGGCCATGATCAATCATAAACTCTAGAATAGAAGCCTGCCCCATGACTGCACAAGGCTTTGGGGGGACATGCAGACACAAACCATAACACCAGTACAGCCCCAACCCAGTAACAATATACCTTCTTGTTTCAGCTCTCATCTTATAAAGACTTTTTCAAAGTGCATTGAGTGCCATATTTTGCTTTGCACTTTTGTGTTTTTGTTTTATTTTACTGTTTAAAATGCCCATCAATCTAATTCTGAATGGCTGCCTGCTGTTTCTAAAGTAGAAGAAGGCTACAGTGTGCCTTTCAGAGAAAATATATGTGTTTGATAAGTTTTATTCAGGCATAAAATGCTGTTGGCCATGAGTTCAGGGTAGATGAATGAACAATATGTATTAAATTAGGTGTCTTAAAGCAGAAACAGACACAAAACAAGGATACACATTGTTCTACTGATGAAAATGTTGCAAGCACAAGCGGAGGGAATGAGACTTGCACTTCCACTAGTAACAATGTCATTCTTCAATTCAGCGTCTGCAACAACTCTGTAGAAGTTCCCTACTGTGAACAATGAAATTTGACCCATATCTCTTAAATACTTCTCCTTCATAGGATTGTGACAGACGTTTTATCAGCACATGGACAACTTGGGGCCATGGAGATATATCACTGAAATGTTTTTCAAAAGAGGGTGAAACCTAGCTGACCATGACATCAGGAGAGGGAGAGGTGGGTGCAAATGGGATGGCTAGTTTTCTACACGCTGAAAGGGATCATTTTGAGAAAATACCAGCGGCAAGCTTGCCTGCTTCTGGCATGTATTTTTCCTTTACAAACAATTTTTATTCTTGCTTTTCAAGAAGAAAGTTTCTTGGCAGCAGGTAATGGTCCTTATGGGATTTTATTTTGGGATCAGATATCTCTGCATTTCACTCTTAGAAAACCCAAGCAGGCAACTAGCAATGGATTGCTTCAGACCTTGACAAGCATAGGGTTAAGATGTTTCATGAGATTTTTATTAATATAGTTAGGGAAGGCCAGAAAGAGCCAATTTATCCATATTAGCCCCTTTAACCCATTTTGCCTGAATGATTCAATCATTTATTGCGCTGGATCTTGTTTCTTCTGGGAATTCTGAGCAGTGTTAGAATTAAATTACCACCACTCAAACATTTTGTTCTTGTTGTTTTTGAAAGAAAGCCTTGTCCAGAAGGCCTCTCTTCTCTCCCTTCCTGGAGCGAAATACAGAGGTCCTTGAACAAAGCCAGATAGGTAGGTTAGAAGATGTTCCTCTCATCACACCTTCAATGTTTGAAAGTGTCTATTACTGAGAAACAGGCGTTTCAAGTCCCGGCCGGCTGTGAAGCGCTGAGTAGCCCGCAGCTCTTCTCTGAGTTCTTCCCCACTGTGTGTTGGACTCAGTGGGCCCAGCCCGGGAGGATAGAGCACTGACTTGGCTGTTGTTTTGCTGCTTCTTTGCTTCACTTCCCAAGTCAAATCAAGGTCCCTGGTTTTCATCCTCCATCATTTCCACTTTCATTTTCAAGGAAAGTCACCAGTTAGAAGAGTTTCTGAGACTATAAACTGGTGCAGCCATTTTGTACCACCAATGGGCACTATCGATCAAAATTTCACAGGTGCCCAGTTTTAATCAATCAATCCTGCTTCTAGAAATTTATCCTGCAAATAGGTGTACAAAGATATAGGTTTAAAAATGCTCCTGAGGTGTTTCCAATAATAAAAACAAAACAATACCCCACAAAAAAAATTAAAAGCAACTTTCATTGTCATATTTAAAACCCATTAGAGAGATAAAACTACATCTCTGTGTACTGACCTGGGATATCTGCAACTTTCTATCAACTGTATGTGGCAAATGGCAGGAAATATGTAGTAGAGACCAGTGTGTAGAAATGAAAAGAATATGTGTGTGCAAAAAATATATAAAAGGGTAATACCAATCTGTTGGTCATGGTGATCTTCGAGGCTATTTGAATTTGGTATGAGGTGGAAAGGGAGGGAGAAGAGTTGGTGGCTTTTGCATTTTATTATATGTATGTTTCATTGTTCAGTGTGTTACAATAAATGTGGATAATTTTATAGCGCTATAACAGCTTTTATGTCTTATTTTCCATTCAGGAACTCCTGCGGAGAGGCAGTGATTGCACCGTCCAACGTTTACCTGACTCACCGCACGTGATATTTTTGGACTGCCATGCCCTCGTATGCTGCCTTAATCACCCATTGTATTGATGCTGCATGGATGTCAATTTTACACCTTATTTCTGTGCTACCTGTTGTCAGAAATCTGTTTAGATGCTGCCCCAGCAGCCTTTGTAGATCTGGCATAAATTAATTGGAACCTAGGCATACCCAGTCAATCTCCTTTGACCTGAGAAAAACTCTACGTCACTATGTAGTAAAGAGATTCATCCCTTGTTTCTCTCACTAGAAACTAATAGACCTCACAACTTGAGCCGAATAAACACTGTATTCCCTCCTTGTAGGCATGGTCTTTGAGCTACACAATCCACAACCTGCCTGGGAAAGCTAAGGGATAATGCTGTGAATCTTTGTAAAGCAAACCCTTCAGGACCCATCTTACTCCCACCTTGCTTATTGAGCTCTCTGCTGCTATGGAGGTCCAGCTATCAGCCTCCTGTCAGCACCCTAACTTCTCTGGGGCCTGGAGTAGGAAGTTTCTTGTTTCATGCATTTTGGTTTCACTCCCTCATCCTGTCTCACCTGACACACGCATCTGAACCGCCCTTTCTGCCGCGTCAGGGCTCTCCTAGAGAGCGGCTAGCTTGGCTTATGGTGGCTCTTGACTGAGGAACCTCAAATTGGAAAAAAATTGCAATACTTGTTCAACGGGTATCTCTGACTTAGCAGAAGATAGGTGTGGAGAATATCTGGCCATGAAAAGAGAAGCTGCCAAAAAGGAGTTTTAGTCAAAAGTGAATTAGTTTATAATTGTTAAGAGCTCACAAAATGGCCGCGTATTCACTAAAACTTAATGACCTTGACCTATGTGTTTGGGTCTTATGTATCAACACTAAGAGATTAGCCTTGATAGACAATGGGAGCAAGAAAGAAGGATTTTTTTTTTAAAGGAAGGAAATTAAAGGGTTACACTGATCTGAATCCACAGTGAAAATTCCAGAGGCTGAGGTATCAAAGTGTCATCCACATCAGTTCAAAATACGTTTGAAGGCTCCTCCACATGTTTGTTGAAATGGCATAATTAATTATATGCTGTGTAAAAAGTGATTTGATTCATTCAGTTCTTCAACAATCATTTTGCTCCTATTTGGGGATTATGCATGATTTAAGTATTGAATGGATTATTCACTTATGCTTGTTAAAGCTGGCATCGAAGTTCTAAGGCATTTCAATGCTGAGGAGCTGAGTGCTGTTGGGGTCTGAAGCACTGATTTTTATAAGTGTAAATTCACTCTGCCATCTGTTGTGAAAGGAGAAAATGCTTCTTGTTGCTTACTTAAAAATGTTAATGAAGGAACTGCCCTGAAGATGAGATGTGAGAATCTCATTCAACTTTAGGTAGTCATGTTTTAAAACATGTAGGAACTAGGTGAGGCAGTGAGGCAAGAAAAAAATCTTGTGCCCCAAATTATGGAAACATTTCCATTGCAGACCTCAGGGGTGATGTCAGAGAACAGTTAGGTGACTTTGTTACCCAAGAAGACTCCATACGATCTGTGATTGTCCCTTGAAGAGACGACAGGAAGGAGGTAGGGGGAAACACTAAGATTCACCTTTGGGCAATTAAGAAATACTGAACTGGTCCATGTAGGAATATCCTGTGGACAGGTGTGAGTGGCATTTAGTACTTCCTGGTGAGTATAGTGTTTTACCTGTCTCCTTTGCGGTTGGTATCTGCATTAAAACAAAAATTAATAGATTTATTCTTTGTCTATATGGAATGCATTCCATCTCCCTTCTTCCTGAGATAAGATCCCAGGAATTGTTTTTGGTTATCTGGCCAGAGCAGTGGCTAGTGCTATAATAGAAAGCCTTGTGAGCTGCTGTTCACCTCTGTCCCCTCTCTGTTCCTTGGGAAAAGAACAACCGTCAATTTCCATTCATTTGTATGTTACCATTTATCACCCGCAAATATTTATTCGGACAAGCATATCCAACTGCAGCCCATGGGTTGGACATACCTGGTCTGCCTGTACCATGTTGAAAGAGGATGATGGCTTGGATCACACATAAAACATATAATATATTAATGCATATAGATAACAAAGCTTCCTTTTAAAAGTATTTTTATTATAACAGTCATTATATAAGAGGAGGCACATTCTAAGCCCTGTACTAGTTGGTGAAGTTAAAGAGGTGAAAATGTACCTTTCTGATGAGTAAGGAGCTCACTGCCTCATAACAGAGACAGCCGTGCAAGCAATAAGTTACAGAATTATCCTTAATCTTCATCTCTCCATTCACAACAAGTCCTACTGTCTCTATTGCCAGAATGTATCCCCACCTGACCACTACTCACTGCCTATGCCTGAGTCCATGTCGCTTTTTTCTTTTACCTAAACCAACTGTGCCTTCTGTTCTTGTTCACTGCAACCCCTTTACCTTACTGCAACAAGAAGGTTCTTTTTTTTTTTATATGAAAGTCATATGATGTCACTATTGTGTTCATAACCTTCCCATTGTTTCTTGTTAAAATTCCAACTTGTTATATGGCCTCTGTCTGTCTCTTTCTGCTCCTCTGATACATCACATTAGCCTTGTTTCTGTAGCTTACTCCTGCTCCACCTCTGCCTAACAGTCTTCATCGCATCTTCTGTGATTTGCTGGGTCTCCGCACAAATGTTCCTACTTTGGACAGCCTTTTCCTAACCACACCCCTTATAGTATGTCTCTTCTAATCTCTAAACATTGCCCTATTCTAATTTGCATAACACTGATGTCTGAAAAAAAGATGTTGTTTGTCTTCTTGCTGTGTGTATGCTGATTGTGTGTGTTCTCCACTGAGAATCAAAACTAGAGGAGAGCAGGGACTCGGTCATGTTGCCCCTCTGTCACTTGGGCAACGGAAGGTGTCAGTTTGTATTTATGGAACAAATGAATGAACATACGTGTGTAGACAGTGGAAGTATCAGTGTATATTCACATGGTCCTCTGAACTGACTATATTTGTAGATTACTTCTAACACTAACGGGAACAGAACCATGCACCCACTCAGAGGGTTTCAAAAAATGCTAAATGATGGTAGAGATTTATTTTGTTTCTATTTTTTTGAAATTATCTTTCAATTATGTTTTATTGTCTTTTCATAATTAGTACCTTGTAGAGAACAACTATTCTAAATATTTTCTAAAATAAATAGTACAGGGTGTTAGAGAACGCTAACCTGAAACACTAACCTGAACGAAGTCCTGAAAACACATTTTTCCTTTAGATTACAAGTAAGCACAGGAACTAAATGCAAGACAGAAAATTGTTGCTATCACATATGAATATTTTTCTTGTTCTATAAAGAATTTTATTATGGCGATTTTTATATGAATCAGAGAAGTATTCATCGAAGTGCATTCAAACACTTGACAAAGTGTTACTGATTCTAAATAAATGCTATTAAACCACCATCTAATTTTAGAGGTGAAAAATGTATTTTTCTAATCTTTACCCTCAAGTACATAGTTTTTTATATTAACATATAATAATTATACATAATAATGGGGTTTGCTGTGATATTTCTATATATGCATTTAAGAGAGGGATAAAATTTCAAAGTCTTTTTTCTTATCCCTAGCCCAAGACCTTCCTAATCTCTGATAGTCTTTATTCTACTTTCAGGTTAACTTTGTGAGAACATGCAATTCCATCCACTTTGCTATGAGTGACAAGATTTCCTTATTTCCTCATTTTCTTTATCCATTTATCTGTTGATGACCACCTAGACTGATTCCATGTCTTGGCTATCATAGATAGTGGTACAGTAAACATGGGTACACTGGTGTGTCTTTGGTGTGCACATTTGGAGTGGCTACATTTTCTTTGAACATATACCCAGAAATGAGATAGCTGGAAAATACTGTAGATCTAGTTTTAGTTTTTTTGAGGAGCCTTCATATAGTTCTCCATAATGCTGTACTAATTTATATTTCCACCAAATTATTATTAGATATAGTATCTAGCTGGGGCAAGATGATATCTCAATGTAGTTTTGATTTACATTTCTCTGATGGCCAGTGACATTGAGAAATCTTCATATTTCTTCTGAGAAATATCTACTTAATTTATTTCTTCTGAGAAATATCTACTTAGACCATTTGTCCATTTTGAAGTTAATGTTTTAAGATTTTTGAGTTTGTTATATATTCTGGATAGTAACCCTCTATCAGATGAGTACTTGGCAAATATTTTCTCCTACAATGTAGCTTTCTTTTTACTCCTTCCCTTGCTGTGCAGAAGTATTTTAGTTTGAAGTATTCCCATTTACCAATTTTTGCTTTTGTCTCACATTCTTTTGGGGTTCTATCCACAAAGTCACTGCTTGTACAAAGGTCTTCAAGTGTTTTCTTCTCCAGTTTCAAATCTTACATAGAGATCTTTGATCCCTAGTTAGTTGATTTTGTACAAGATGAGAGATAGAGGTCAAATTTCAGTCTTCTGCTTGTTACTGTTCAGTTTTCCTACCATCATTTATTAAAGAGGCTCTTCTTTCTCCAATGTTGTTTTTAGTACCTTTATTGAGAATAAGTTGACTATAGATGCATGGGTTTATTTCTAGGTTCTCTATCATGTTCCATTTGTCTATGTGTATCGTGCTCTGCCTGTACCATGCTGTTTTGGTTACTATGGCTCTATCATGTTTTTTTTCCTCTATAATATTTTGATACCAGATATTATGATGCCCCCAACTTTTTTTTTTTCAAGATTGTTGTGCCTATTCAGGGTATTTTGTACTTCCATATGAATTTTAGGACTTTTTCTAGTCCCATGAAAAATATTTTATTCACTTCCCAGTTTGTTCTTTTTTAAATTCTTGAGATGCACATTCATTTGAACTTTTCCTTTTTTTTTTTTTTTTTTTTTGGGTATAAGTACTGCTATCACCTTCACTTTTAGTGCTACTTTTTCTGTATCCCTTAAATTTTGGTATGCTATATTTCAACTTTAATTTATTTCAAGAAAACTTTCAACTTTCCTTCTGATTTCTCTAGTGATCCATTGTGTATTCAAAAGTGTTTCTTTCAGCTTTCACGTTTGTATAATTTCTATTGTTGTTGACTTCTAATTTTATTCCATTGTGATCAGAAGTTATAGAATATGATTTCAGCATTTTTGAATTTAAGATTTGTTTTGTGACCTGATATACGGATTGTTCCAGAGAAAGTTCCGTAAGGTGAGGAAAAGAGTATGTAGCTATTGGGTAGAATAGTCTGTGTCTATTAAGTCATTTTTTCTGTGGTATACTTTAATTCTGAGGTTTCCTTCATTTCTTTTGTTT